ACCAGCCAGCCTGCACGGTGGGAACAAACAGACCCTTCTTGTATGGAAGAAAGGGATGAAGTCAAAGGCAAAAAGCAGTGAGTTCGAAAGATGATGCCCTGACAGGAAGAGAGCCATGGGATAAAGCTACAGAGAGCATTGCTGAGAGCCCTTCACAGGAGGGCAGACGTCCTCGTGGCACCCAGGCCCGTGGACGGAGGTGCAGCCAGCCTGCACGGTGGGAACAAACAGACCCTTCTTGTATGGAAGAAAGGGATGAAGTCAAAGGCAAAAAGCAGTGAGTTCGAAAGATGATGCCCTGACAGGAAGAGAGCCATGGGATAAAGCTACAGAGAGCATTGCTGAGAGCCCTTCACAGGAGGGCAGACGTCCTCGTGGCACCCAGGCCCGTGGACGGAGGTGGCACTCACCGTTATGTGACATGCCCAGCGAGAGGCATTTCTGGAAGCGGCAGTACTGGCACTTGTTGCGGTTCTTCTTCTGAATCTTGCAGCTCCGCTCGCACTTCTCGTACTCCAGCTTCATGCGGATCGTCCGACGGAAGAAACCCTGCGGGCAGGGACAGGGGACCAGCAGTGTTAGCGCCTGTGGCTTGGGACCAGGCTGGTTTATTACACCCAGGAGCCTCCTGGAGGTTCAGCCGCGTGGGGAGGAGGAGCCCTGGGTCTCCTGAGCCAGCAGAGTGCCCAGGTGGCCACGGTGGTCAACACCATCCTGGCTGGTATCAGGAATAGGGTGAGCAGCAGGAGCAGGGCAGGATCCTTGCCCTGTGCTGGGCACTGCTGAGGACACCCCTCAAATCCTGGGGTCAGGTTTGGGGCCCTCACTCCCAGGAGGACATTGAGGGGCTGGAGCGTGGCCAGAGAAGGGCAAGGGAGCTGGGGAGGGGTCTGGAGCACCCGAATGATGGGGAGAGGCTGAGGGAGCTGGGGGGTTCAAGTGGAGAAGAGGAGGTGAGGGGAGACCTTATCCCCTCTGCAGCTCCTGAAAGGAGGGGGCAGCGAGGGGGGGTCAGCCTCTGCTCCCATAACAAGCGATGGGACGAGAGGAAATGGCCTCAAGGTGTGCCAGGGGAGGGTTAGATTGGATATGGGGAGGAATTTCTTCCTTGAAAGGGTTATCAGGGACTGGAAGGGGCTGCCCAGGGCAGCGGTGGAGTCCCCATCCCTGGAAGGGTTCAAAAGCTGGGGAGATGAGGTGCTGAGGGACACGGTTTAGTAGTGGCCAGGTTATGGTTGGCCTCGATGATCTTAAAGGTCCTTTCCAACCAAATGATCCTGAGATCCTTTGGCACAAGCAGAGTCTGTCTGAAGGAGAGGAGGTGCAGGGGGACAAGGGGGCTGCAGAGGAGGACACGGTGCTGGACCCTGCGTGTGATGCTGCAGGCAGCCGGCAGGGAGGGATGCAGGAACGAGCTGTGCTCCGGCCCCAGCCTGCAGGAATGTCTGGCAGGAGCTGGGCATAACCCGGCCTCGCTGGCATCTGCTGTGGGGGAAAGAATTTCAAAGGCACATCCAAGCCACGGCCAGTGATCCCAGGGGGATAAACACACAGGGCACTGCTGGTCTGCAGCACTGAAAGCATCTCTACAAGCACAGCCAGGGTCCCTGTGGGTACAGATGGATTTGCCTTACAAAGTAAAGCATGACAGGGCAAGATTTGGGCCATATGCATCTCAGCTGCCTCCCTCAGGACAGTATTTGTGCGTTTGCCTCTATCTCTGGACGGGTTGCAAATGATTTACTTACAACCCTGCATCCCTGCTTTGTTACAAACCTGCTTGTTCGAAGCAACTGCCTGCTCCCAGCCCTCCCCATGTGTACGTACATACCTTGCAGCCCTCGCAGGCGTGCACGCCGTAGTGAAACCCCGAGGCTTTGTCCCCGCAGACCCTGCACTCCACGTTCAGCGCTCCCAAGGCCGCCTCCTCGCAGCCCATCTGCAGCTGGTCCGACAGGGAGGGAGAGGAGCTCTGCGAAAGGTCTGCAGGCACACAAAGGGATGCGTCCTTTCGTGTAGGAGCAACAAACCTGGCGCTGTGTCTCACTCCTCCAGCCATGGGGGTGACGAGGGGTTTCCAGCACTGCCCCAGCCCAAACTGGTCCATCTGGGCAGTTAAACCCCGAGACCAGGCACTGACTGGAGGCAGACGCCACGCACAGAGCCAAGAGTGCCCCCAGCAGCTCAGAGACTCCACATCAGTGCGGATTTCTCCCCTCTGGCATTCGTGTCTAGGCAATGACACCCAAGCAGTAAATTTTATAATCCCCGGTTGGCAGGCGGCTGGCACGGGGCTGCCCAGCTGGAACACCCCGGGCTCTGCAGGAGGCTCCTCAGCAGCAGCAAACCCCCTCCTCCAGTGCCTACCATCAGTTTGCACCCAGGACTTCAAGCAGTGGCCAGGGAAGTGTTCTCAGGCACCCTGGGAGTCCTCCCCCTCTGGGCACAACGTTACCTGTCTGCCCTTTTCCTTCCCACCTCCCAGCCGCTGCCAACAGCTCTGCGGCGATCGCAGAGGAAGAACTAAGAAATAACTTGGCTCTCCATGCGTTATTTCGCAAAGGGAAGAGATTAAAAGAAGCCAAACTCCATTCACGGGCAGGTCCTTGCAGCTGAGCACGCTGCCCAGAGCACGTGGATGCTGCAGGTCCATGGCTCCACTCACCCGTGTAGCTGCTGGAAGGCAGCGAGCTGTCTGGTCCTCCACTTGGGTCCGCGGCTGCGCTTGCCACCATCACTGCCTCTTCCTCCTCCTCTTCCTTGATCTCAGGTACTTCCTCCTGTAGTTGTTCCATAATTGATCACCCCTCGGTGCCAAGACTGCAATCCCTGTCATAGCTCTGGCATCATCCGCGTCTGTCTGAGATGGACCCTGCCGGGCTGTTCCTGTTAGCCTGCGGGACGGAGGAGAAACGTGTCAGACCCAGGGTTTCAGTACCAGGACAGGGTGTAACCACACTGGTCCTGCTCCGCTTTCTCTCCTTATCCAGGGAGAGAAACAGAACCTGTGGTCTTTGAAAGGTCACTTTGCACCCTGGTATAAACCCTCCTTAAGGAAGGAAAACCTTGCTGGGGTTGTGTTTAAAGCCCAGCAGGCAGAGCCCATATCACAAACCAGCCCAGACACCACCCAGGGATGGGGATCCTCAGTGTGCAGGTCCCACAGCAGAAATGCTGCCCCAGATAATGTCCACTGGTGTCCTGGGATGTCACAGCGGTCACCAAGGCCAGGGTTTGACAAAGCCAACGCCACCATAAAGATTAAAGTCTTCACCCTCCACTCTCACCCAGCCAAGGCAAAGCTTGGGGCAGGAGCTGACGAGGATGCAGTGGTCCAGGCCCACGGGTGGGAGATGCTGGGGGAGCAAGGCTCAGTGCAGGCAGAGGCTGAAAGCCCCTGGCCCGTGTGAGCCATCTGGGAGCCCCATGGCTTCCTGCTGGCCCCTGCACTCACGCTCCTTCCCATCACAGCGCTTGTGTTTATTTTCTCTCCTCGTGTTGTAACTGGCCCCTGCTGCCCTGCCAAGAGCAGCCGGGTTGAACGCTGCTGCTGCTGCTCCACGCGTGCTCGGCCGCGGGGTCCAGCAGCGCCATCGGGGTGGCTGCACAACCCAGGCACTTCTTAATCCTGGGTTTCCTGCGGGAGGCACGGCCCCGTCCCCCACCATGTGCTTCCACTCCTGGTGCGCCATAGTCCAGCCCAAACAGCCCCCAAAAGACTCAGGATGCATCATCGGTACCGTGACCACGGCAGAGCCGTTCCCACCTCCCTCCTAACCATGCTGGATCTCACCCAAGCATCCAGCTCACACTGCAACATCCCAGCACCCATTTACCTCCAGATCTTGACTCCTAAACCAACTCTTGCTTGAATAATTAATAACTGAAGCTCAGTTTATGTAGAGTTGAAATTCCCTTCCTTTAAGGAGCTATTTTTAAGGGGAAAATCCATCAGAAAAGCCACTGAAATCCAGCTTCCACCAGGAAAGCCTCGGTTTGCAGGCAGGGGTTAAATTGATGCAGCATCTTCAAGCCTAAATTAGGGTGAAGCGAGTAGGCTACTCACAGGATACTCACACAAGGGTAACCCCCAGCACCAGGACGGGTTGTGACCCATGGCCAAGCCCACGCCACAGCACAGGGAGGGCAGCAGTGACCCAGGGCTCACTGGGCTCATTCTGTCCCCACAGCAGACCCTCACCCCATGGATCTGCCCAAAACCATCAGCATGAGCACGGTCAGAGCTCCCTGCGAGACCGAACAGAGTCGAGAGGACAAAACCTGCGAGCAGGAGGTTGAATGCAAACACATCACAGAGCCAGGACCCAAATCACCCCGCTGATTTTGGGTCCTCTTCATGCTGGGAATTCAGGCTGCAGGACACAGCTTTGGTTCAAGGAGAGGTACATTAGAGCAAGCACGGCTCCTTTACAGCAGGAGCAGGTAGAGAGGTGCTCAGGGCACAGCGTTCCCTTCCTGTGCCTCTGTGAGAGCACTAAGGGACCATTCAAGGGCCGTGTTGTCCTTGGCCCCCTTACACACCCCATGGTGGGACATGGCACATGGGCAGGAAAACCAACTCATCGGAGATGGAGGGGAACGGGCTCGACCGTTTTGAAGGCTCTATATAAATAAATGTACCACCATCAGGAACAGCAGCGAGTGGGGGAAGCTCGCGGCAGGAGAAATTAGCCTCGGGTGGAAAATGCATCCAGCAGCGGCTTAATGAGCTTCTCATTAGCTCTGCTTTGTCTCTGGCACGCAGCACAGCCCGCTTGCTCTGAGCCCAGCGCAGATGCAGCCCTCGTGGCGCGTTGCTGTTGGAATAACGTGGGCACATCCCTCCAGCTGCATCCTCTGTCCTCCATCCACCGGGGCTACTCATGGCCACGTGCTCCCGGGGTGGCAGCGAGCTTGAGACACGCAGCTTGCTCCCCAGAATCCACCAAAGCGACCCCAAAACTGTGCTCAGAGTCAATCTGGGTGTGCAGGAGAGGCAGAGAGAGGAAAGCTTTTAGCAGAAAGCTCTGAGTGCGTTGTTTTCCTATCTCCTTGCAGACCAAGAGCACAGGGGCCTGGGCAGAGGGAAGCTGCGAGAGCTGTTTGCACACCTGCCTTTCCCTCAGCCGTTCCCATTTTCTAAACAGAGCGAGAGGAGGGGGGAAAGGGATTGATTTCACACGGCAGGCTTCGCCCTGTGCCTTCAGCAGAGGAAAGGCCACGGCGGCTGCTGGCTGCATCAAAGGCAGGGCAGGGGCTGTGTCTGTGCACCCCGAGCCAGCTCAGTGGGGTCCCTGGAGCCATGCAGACCCCCAGGGTGTCCCCTCCGGCAGCCAAACCCAACCCCATGCAGAGACTGCGGGGATTTGCCGATGTTTCGCACACGCTGCTCTGTTCCTCAGTGACCACGGTGGTTCAGAGTGGGGTATGCAGGGAAGCTGGGGCTCCCCAGAGGTTTGACCAAAAACTCCAACCCTCTGAGCACGAGGAGGGCCCTGTCCTGCCAGCACGGCTGTGGGCAGGGCTGTCACAGCCCTGCACCTTCGTGGGATGGCAGAGAGCAACCAAAGGGCCCTGCTCAACCCCAGGACCTCTCCAGCCGCTTGGTGCCTCCATGTCCAGCCTCTGAGAGGGCAGAGGTGCAGGAGGGATAACTCCCTCTGCTCCCCTTGGCTAAAAAGCCACCAACCAGACACAGCACACGAGCTTCGGGGAGAAGGGCAGAGATTCCTGCCCACCACAGCCCCCTCCTTTTCCATCTGGCAGCTGTCACAGGGCAGTGATGGAAACAAGGACAGAAACAAGGACGGACACCGGGAATTCCTTCCTAAGCCTCTCCAGGGAATCCAGCGGAGCCGTTTCCCTTCCTCTTCCCACAGGATGGGGATGAGCAAGAGGGCAAACATCTCCTGACTTGCTCTGCCCTTGCCTCAATCCCTGCTCCAAGGAGCCTGGGTAGCCCTGGCCGAGGCAGCGGCGCGTGGGTTGGTTTGCTGGCTGCAAACGGCAAGGGCAGGAGGTTTCTCTTTACTAGAAGCAGGAGCTGGCACCTCTGCCAAGCTAAAACAGGGTGAAGAGATGCGGCATGACGAGAGGAGGAAAGAGAAACAGGAATTCCAAGTGAAAAGGAGAGGAATCTGCAAGAAGGAAGGAGAGCAAGGCCATCAACCTGCAGCGTGTACCCTTCTGCTGAGTAAGTCCTGGAGCCCAGGAGAAGCAGAAGATGACAGTTTTGGGCCCCTCACTAGAAGAAGGATGTTGAGATTCTGGAGCGTGTTCAGAGCAGAGCCACAAGGATGGGGAGGGCTCTGGAGAACAAGCCTGATGAGGAGCGGCTGAGGGAACTGGGCTTGTTTAGCCTGGAGAAGAGAAGGCTGAGGGGAGACCTCAGCACCACCTACAACTGCCTCAAGGGAGCTTGTGGAGAGGTGGGTGCTGGGCTCTTCTCCCAGGTGATGGGGGATAGAACAAGGGGAAACGGCACCAAGCTGTGCCAAGGGAGGTTCAGGTTAGAGATAAGGAGGAAGTTCTTTACTGAGAGGGTCGTCAGAAGCTGGACCAGGCTGCCCAGGGAGGTGGTGGAGTCACCATCCCTGGATGTGTTTAAAGAGCGGGTAGACGAGGTACTTAGGGATATGGTTTAGGGGGTAGACAGGAACGGTTGGACGTGATGATCTCAGAGGGCTTTTCCAACCGAGCCATTCTGTGATTCTGTGACAAATTGGGGAAGAAGAGCCCATTTCCCTGTGGTCCATGGACAGGAGGGGTGATGTGACAGGGACAATTCCAGCTTCTCAGCAGCATTCAGGTCCCACTCGCAGCGTGAGGTGTCCCAAGCGGGGGACGTGCGTCTCGACACAGACACCGGGTGCTGGCAGCCAGACAGCCACAAACTGTGAGCAAGGAAGTGCTCGTCATTAGCAGGATCTCATTTCTAAACCAGGTGTAGTTTCACTGGTGGTGAGCTCCAACAAGAGGTAATTTTGGTGTGTGCACGGGGATGGAGAGAGGATGCCCGTCCCCATTCCCCTCCAGCAGAACATACATTTGTTTCTGATACATTTATGCAGCGGGATTGACCACGTTCCTATCGCAGTCTGGAGTCACCGCACGAGATCCCTCCCTGAAATGCGGGAGTTTCCAGGCAAAGCCAAGTGCCAAAATAAAGGTCCAAACCTCCCAAATCACAGAGCTGATCCGCTCACAGTGGTTGCTGAATTGCGAAAAGAAACCAAATTGCTGTGGGAGCACTTCTGGCCTGGGTTTTAATTCCTCTGGACAAAAATAACCCCCAAATTTACAGTCCACAGAGGCGAATCCTTTCGGAAGGGGCAAGATGAGCACTCAGCCCTCTGCGTTGTGTTGTGCAGCGCACGCTGAATCCACAAACAGACGCTGAAGGGAAAATTGGAACAAAAAATGTGATCACCGCTGTCATTTGCAGATGTCCCCTGGGTTGTGTCACTGCTTCCAATATCTGCTGGTCTAGCACTGGTTTCTGTTCCTCCTCCTCCTCCTCCACATCAGCTCCTACTCATAAAAGCTGAGTAAGAGCTAAGCAGCTGCTGCAATACAGGAAAGGCAACCAAGTGCAGGAGAGACAAACACTGAAAACATGTTTGGGTTTGTTCCTGAAAGATCCACACGCCCCCTCATTAGCTAATGAGATCTCGGCAGCACTTACTACCCAAGGGCTTCCTCCTTTACTCAAAGCCTTAGCCACAAGGCAGAAATAAACTACTCCAGGTAGCAAGAAAGGGCATTTCCACGCAGTCCTGGCCGGTGGGGACACTCAGGGACAGATTTTGAAGCATCTTCTTAAGCTCTGCATCGTGTGCTCGTGATCTTCTCTCAGTGCTGCTCTGTGTGGGCTCTCTGTGTTTCCCCAAGGATGA